AAATATTTTAGGGATAAGTTCTCTGATTGAGATACAGTCTTTCAGACATAATGTGGACAAAATTTAAGATTTTGAATTGAGGACAACGTTATTCTATTATGCATTTTAGGCTTGGCGCTCCGACTGAGAGAAGCAACGAACAGATATAGAGAAAGTAGAAGATAAATGGAAATAAAGCAAAAGAAAAAAGAAAAATAACGCTGATAGAGTTAAACGTATGTCCAACGTATTTCGAATGATGACAGCGTAAGGACTAGTAATAAGAATGTCGAATTGGATAGAAAGTAGACTGGAATTAAGATGGTGATAAATTTTAAAAAATTGTACTAGCCGAAATTGCAAACAGAAAGATCTGGATTTATCAATGCAATTAGATCAATGGAACGCTACTTTTTGCCACAAATGCAATACCTAGAACATCATTTAAAAGTTTTATGGAGAAAATTCGATCATGAAGCATTGATTTTAGTAGGCATCGCAGCTCTTATATTACTCTACACTATGTTGGGATCGAAACATTCGTGTAAAAAATTGTAATACTTGAAGAGTAGCAGTCGGTAAATTTCGAACCAATAAGACGCTACAATCAATATTTACCAGTGTGCGAGAGCTCAAACTGCTCTAGACTTTGGTAGTTCATCATTAGTTTTTGAAAAAAGGGACATGTACAAACAACGATTCCTTTTTTCAGTGGCTTATGCTGCTGAATTGTCTTATACCATCTCAGCATTTACGCTGAACATGGTATGCGGATCCGAACTACAAGGTGTAGTTTGAAGTTCACAAGCTATAAAATGCGTTAATTACGATTGAGGGTGGACAAGAAAGTATGAATCAGGTATGTTGAAGATTATTTAACTAAAGTTGTTTCATTCCTGCGAGTTGCTGTTATTTGTAGACTACCTTTGTTTATATATTCGTCAGCAGTGCAATGGATGAGTATACGTTGGTTGATACAGTAAAAAAACGGCAGTTTAGCTGTCACTTCTAATCATATACATAATTGCTAAAAGTGTTACAGAATCTTATACCATAACTAGATAAGAACAACACAAATTTGACTTATTTTGACAATTGAAATATATAACATGCAATATGATGGAATTGATAATGACATTCAGTTGATGTTTCTGGCGCAGCAATACTCGTATCTTTATTTCATGTATTAAACCAAACTTGTTCAAAACGTGTTGTTGCTGTTCTATTTATCGAGAAGGATTTAAGCATACTAATGTATATTGAATCATTTTAACCACATTCTAGTTGGTTTCATTAAACGAGCGGTAATAAACACTTATATACATACATACATGTAGAATTTTTTTTTAAAAACTAACCATTTAAATTTTTTGTAAGCGAAGCTCACTTTTATGAAGTTGTTCACTATTTTGAAATCAAGTAAAAATTTCTGTTTAGAATATCATCAAGCCAACGTCGCACGAGAACGGCTTTCTTATTTGGATGCTATTATACCATATGCATAGAGTTTCAGCTATGCATCCTAGAAATAAACAGGTGGCAAAAGCTCCAGTAAAATGTGAACCGAAGCTAAAGAAATTAACTAGAAGTATTGAACTATCTGGCTTTTACTACTGTCACATACAAGATTGAATATTACATAACCATAGTTCTAAACTAAATCATAGTGAAAAAATGTTATTTTCGTCTTTCGCTTCACTTTTATTCTGATAGATCCGACTTGTTTCGATCTTGTTTGTAGTTAGCCTGGTATTATATCGTCATTATTTCTTTATGCTCCTGTTTTATCATAAGCCAAACGTTAGCAAAACAACAACAATATATTTAATCATATACAAAAAAAAACAGAACACAAAAAAGAATTCAAACGTATAGAAAGAGAAGTGAGGGTAATAGTTGACGAATTTTTGTTGTTATAAATAAAAAAAATGTGCATACATTCACACAAACACATACAGTAAAGAAAACAAAATAAAAGATGAATGAATGAGAATGAGATGAAGAAGAGAAAAAACATATTCCCTATATAGACACAGAGAAGGAAGTTTTTAGTTAATGTAATGACAAAAAGTGATCTTGATATCTAACAAGGATAGAGTAGCAATAAAAAAATAAAATAACCCGCAGTATTGAAAACACTATCTTATTGTTGCTTTTCAAACAATTATCTCATGATTGTTCAGATGAGTATGCAACACATATCACAAAACGTTCAAACAACAAAAAAAAAGAAATAGAGGAATGTTTTCAGACACAGAAGGTAGAGATGATTTTGTTTTCAACTTAAATATATCTTGTGTATATCTTGTACCGCAAATCCCAAATTACATTTTGGACATTTGCGTTGTCGACTATCATATCTGGATTTCAAACAATCGTAACAAAATACATGAAAACATTTTGATAAAATAGCGTCACGTTGTTTATTTTTACATGCTGGACAACGTAATATTTCTTTATATTCACGTATTTCTTCTAATAATACTTCGTCTTTATTTGAAGCCATATCAAATTTACGCATACGCTCTAATTTTCGACTACAATTTTTATTGTCTTCTTGTAAACTAAAATAAACAATAGAAGCCTACATTTTATATTGAGATCTACTCGTTTCTTCGCTCGTAGATGGTTAAGTGGACACACATCTATCATCATAAATACGAAAAACATCTGCACAAAATCCAAGTCTCGCCGTATAATAAAAAAAAAAGATGAAAATGAATGTTGCACAAGCTTACCGTCTGTTTTTGAAATTTTGTTTCTCAAGTGCTTCAGTCTTTTCTGCAACAAGTTGTTGTGCTTCTTTTAATTGCGCATGATATCGTTCCAAATGTAAACGTAAATCGGCTGATGTTTGTGCACTTTCAATAGATTTTCGTTTGTGAGCGTCTAGCGTTTGATGCATCATATTCAATTCTTTTTCTAATATCAATACACTGTTACGTAACAGAGCTACTGTTTCTTCAAATTTTTGATTCATAACAATCTTCAATAAAGAGATATATAAGAGGTGATTATTATTCAAAATACTGTTCTCACTCTTACCTGTGCATCAAGTTGTTCTTGTAAAACATTTGTCTGTTGTATTAATACAGCTTTTTCATCACTCATTATTTTTTGAGCCTGTTGTAATTTAACTCGTTCAACCATCAATTTAATATGAGCATCATCTTTTTCACGTAATTGTTGTAATAATCGACTATTTTGTTCTTGCATATCTTCAAAAGCTTGTCCTGTAACCTGTTTGAAAAATAGTAGGCCTCTTTATTTTTACTGAAATCAAGAACAATTAGTTGATGATTATACTTACTTCAATTTCATTTAAAAGTGCTGCTTCTTCTTGTTTACGAGTTTCAAGACTTTTTTCTAATTCTCGTACAGAATCTTGTAACGTTCGAATCTTATTTTGTGCCTATAAAAACGAAGAATTTGTAAAAATTGACGTCCTATCATATAATTGTTCTCGCTCAATTAAATTGCCGAATGAAATATTATACTAACTTCATCTTCATTAAACTTTTTTCTTATTGTTTTTGCATATGTTTGTAATTTTTTCAGCTCCGTTTTAGTATCATCTAATTCTTGACGAAGTTTTTTTTCTGATGTCATCAAATTTGCTTTTTCACGTGTTTCTTTAGGAGCACTTCTGAAATAGAAACCCAACAAGAACATCATATCGATACCGAAGCGCAATAAAATACAGACAAGATATACTCACCTATACATTGTTAACAAAATTTTATATTCTTTAACAAAATCTGTTAGCTTCTTATTTTCATCTTTTAGCGTTTGTATTTCTGCTTCTTTTTCATCCGATGTTAATCTCGATAATGATGATTCTTCAATTTCTCCTTCACTTGTATCACCAATATCCCAAATTAAATCATTCAACCGACTATCATCGTTCTATAAAGCAAAAAAGATGCACATTATAAAATATACCGTGAAGGAGAAAAAAACACACTCCATCTGTTGTTGTATTTAATCGATTCAAATCGTCTTTATGAGAATGTTGTTGTTGTAGCTGTGGTGTTAGTGGATGAGCATCGTCTTTTGATGTCGAATTTGTTGTATTATGATTATTTGACAGTTCTGTTCCACTGAATCCATTCAATTGACTTGTGGTAATCAAAGATGAATGATTACTGTTTTCATTTTTCGCTTTTAATTTTGCCAATTCATCCTCCATTTCTCTACATTGCTTCTTACATCTCGATGCTTCCAAATTATGTAATTTACACTGAGCTTGTAAATGACTAATGAGACTACGCATTTCACGAGTAATTGGCACTTTAGAAAAAAACAGAAAAGACTAAAGTGAAGACAAATTTTTGTGAAATTGAAGACAAAATAACTTCAATATGAGAACTTTTCCTTGCTGACTCATGATCGTAAAGAAAGAGTTTCACTCTAAGGTTGACTTATTTTAATGTATAACTGATTCTTTTACAGCGAAACGGCCAAACAAAAATATACCAGTTGATCGGAGGACTAAGACTGTAAAAGTTTTGGTTACTTCTTCGGCCGTTATCGACAACGGTAACTAGAAAAACAGTAGTCGTTAAAGTAACGATAACTGTCGTTTCAGTTAGCGTTAAACCAACGGTAACTGAAAAGACAGTTTATGGTAACTATTTTTTAAGTATGGCAGAAATAAACTGTTGAAACTTTCATAAATGACATAGTTTTGTGGTCTAATTTCGTTGATGAAAACAAAAAAGATTTCTCAGGCTGGATATAGATGCTGAGGTCTCCAGAGACCTTGAAAACCGCAGTTACAAAACATTGAAGTTATATAATTTCGATTAATTTAGCTAGCGGGCTTGTGTGTGCCAATCAAAACCAGGTCATTTATGAAAGTTTCAACAGTTTTAGTGGAAAACTAGCGATTTTGGAAGCCATTTTAAGCCGCTGCGTGGATATTTATGTCATACTTAAAAATAGTTACCATAAAGTTAACTAACTGATAGTTACCGTTATTTCAACGGTAACTGAAAACGCAATTATCGTTAAAGTAACGATAACTGAAAAGACAGTTATCATTACTTTAACGGTAGCAGAAAGAATAATTAGCATTAAATCAACGTAACGGGAACTTTTACAGTCCTACCGGAGACGCTGTTTTGAGAAAGAAATACATTTTAATCGAATATTACCTGCTTGTTGATTGGCAATAAGTGTTTTCTCATATTCCACTTGCAATACATCATATGCTCGTCTCGTTTCAGCAAGATCTTCAACAACTTGTTCAATATTTGCATGTAATTTTCGTTGATTTTCAAATTCTTCTTGCTATAATAAACAAAAAGAAATTATAGAGAAATTTATTATAGTAAGTAAAATCTTACTTCGATTTTTTCAAAATGATGATCATAAATTGTTTTTGTACATTTTACTAATTCTCTCGTTTCAGCTAATTGATGTCTTAAATGCACACTTTCATTGACTAATGCTGTATAACGTGATTGAATACATTTAAATTCTGGTGTTTCGATGACTAATGATTCAGGTAATGCACAAAGCTAGAAAAAACCAAAACAGATATGTTAAAGTTTTCATTAATTTTCCAACATATAAGACCGTTATGATGAACTATCTTACTTGACATTTGAGTTCTTCAATTTCTTTTTTAGCTATTTCATGATCGGATGTTAATTTTTCTAGTTCAGCTAATCGACTTGTTGCTAATTCTTTACATTCTTCAAGCTCAGCTTTTAAATCAGTTAACTATAAAAACGAGATAAAAAGATGTCATCTTCACAAACGAATTTAGTAAATTCGTTTATAATCATTTACCGATTTTTCTGGTATAGTCACTGTTGTTTTTCCTTCTTGTTGATCTTTGACAACATTATCAGTTTCTAATTTTGAAACAGCATCACATAATAAACGTTCTAATTTCATTTCTTTATTTCGTGACTTTTCTAATTCATATTCTAAATCTGATAAATGACTTTTATTTTCAATATTCTGTTCTTCTTGCAATGCTAACTGATTCGATAAATCTGAACATTGCAGTGTTATTTTATGTATTCGACTTTGTAATGATGTATTCATTCTTAATATTCTATCATTTTCTTGTTCTAAATCTGAATTGCGTTCTAATATGACTTTATACACTTCATCTGATAGTGGTGAACCTATAAATATAAATTTTCAAAATAAAAGTATAGAATATAAATTACACACACACACAGAACATTTACGTTCAGATTTTGAATCGTCAGTAATTGTTTTACTGTTTTGATCACCGGAAGATGTAGCAGAAGAATCTGTAGTGGGGGAAGAAGAATTTAATGAGCTGAATAAACGTTGATATTTTTCAGATAGACTAGAATAAAAGAAAACACAATAATTAACGTAAAAACCAATAAAAACGAGCGCACATATTTTTGTTCACACTAACACAAGATATCTGGAACTCAATATAAGTTTAATCATCAAAAACATGAGTCAATATTTAGAAAAGATGCTTTTTTCCAGCAAACTTCCGTAAGACAACATCTTCCAAGAGGTATCGATCGTGCAAATATAGTGAAGAACGCCGAGAGTTATATCAACTAATGTTCATATCAAATACACCAAGAAAACACATTCCAGGTTCACCTGTCAAATATTTTAACAAGTTTGGCTATGGCTTTTGTTGAAAAATCGAGACGTTGTTTTAAATGCTCATCTAAATCATCACGCATCCATGTATTTAATTGCTGAATAAATGATTTAACTTCTTCACGTTCTAGCTCCATTGGAACTGTTGTATCAAAACGTTCTAATAATCGACGAATATCTTCATCAAGCTAAAAACAACAGCAACAGAACAAATCAAGAAATAATATCATAACAGTTCGAAAGTATAATTTGTCATATGTGGTTTTAATACTCTTTCTTTATTGAAATATATCTCGAGTGAAGAGCTGTGGTGAGAACGGCTACAAATTCTAGTTATATTCTTCGATAATGGTGAAATACGTCGAAAGAAAGCATCAGAAAACGGTTATCCTAATTATAATTAATTCTTTTTGTATTAGCGTGCAAATGAAAAAGCGGTATGAAGATTTTCAAAATAAATATTAAGAATACTAACTTGTGTCCAATAAATATCAATGATACTGAATTTGCAATCAATCACTGCTTTATTTCTCTCAACTTGATCAATTTTGTCTCGCCATTTTTCCTCATTCTTTCGATAAACTGTCAAACATTCAGATAGTTTTTTATTTTGTATAAGTAAAAGTTTAGCATCAAGGTCTTCCTGCAAAAAAACAAAACAACGAGAACAATTGTATAACCAAAAACATTCTTTTTTAATCAGGCTTTTCTTTACTTACCGCTGATTGTATACAAAATAGTTTTAATGGTTCAAATACAAGTATTCGTTTATCTTTTACCGATACTGGAGAATCTAAACCAGCATCCGATGATGTTCGTTTTTTTGAATTACTCGTTGTTGTTGACATTTTATCGTTTGAATTAGAACTATTACTATTGGATGTTTCACTCATAACTAATTTAAGTTCATATAATAACAAGCTATCCTGATTGATTCAGGGCTAAACGTAGAAATTATTAAAGAAAACTAATATGACATGAATTCAAAAGAGAATAAAGAAGCGTAACTAACTCTGATAACATTTTTTATCGTTTTTTAAAAAGTTTCGGATTGTTCTTTCAGAGCATGCAATCTGAAATTCGTACACAATATCAAATTATGTGATGATGAAGCTACTTGGTTTCCAATTGAATATTTATTAATTATGCTTATTGATTCAAAGGAAATATTATATTCCTAATGAATTTAAAATAAAGACTATCACTCCAACTGTCTTTTCGAGAAATTTTGTGCTTAATTAATCAAAATTCGTTTAAATTAATCCAAAGATTTTATTATGTAATCGCCGTTATCTAAGAAATTATTTATATTGAAGTAGAAGTGTCAAATGATAATCTTTCAGTTATAGACTTTAAATATCCAACGAAAGAAACAATTGAAAAAAAAACATTTTAAAACTGAACTCAACTTTTTCTTTCGTCTATAAATAACTTTACTCTATTTTCAGAAACGGCCATGTTTCGAAAGAAGTTACAAAGGCCTTCGCTCACTCACTACAGGATATGGCGCTTATTTTCTACTAGCCTTCAAAAATAGCCGTCAATTGATATCTAGCAGGAAATTTGGAAAAGGTTAGCCTTCATTTTCAAAAATGTACATAATGACAATATGGTAGCATGAAAAAGGAGAATACTAAGTCAGTTTTTATCTTTTTCATTAAAATAAGATCATTTTATAACAAACTTCAGTAAATTGCTTCATAAACAATAAGATTTTTGCTTACATTTGAAGAGAAACTTTTTATTCAACGACATCTGAAATAATTCAATTCGTCAAAATTTTCTACGAATGGGCCGTACCAAATTAAGTCTGACGAATCATAATCATCGTTCCGCTTTTTTTATTACTATTTGGTAGCAGCCATTTTTGACGGGCGTAATTGACGGCTATTAGGCAACACAAATGGACACATGGCTTAAAATAATATGTGGACGTAAAAAGCGCTGATTGTGTCAAAATTGTCAGACGGTCTTCACTGTAAAACTTAACATCAGAAAAGTGAGTGATCAAGCCATCCACTTTTCTGTATTGTGGATCAACGAAAGTGGCTGAGTTCCCTTTGTTTATCACTGATCACCTACTTTAGGTCAAAAATGTCACCCTACTGGATGACCGGTAATCCACTCTTATAGGTGGCACTCTCTACAAGAATGAATTACCGGTCACCCGGTAGAGTAATACTTTTGACCGGCTAAAGTTGATGATGAGCGAGTGATAAACAAAGGGAATTCATCCACTTTCGTTGATGTACAATACAGAAAAGTGGATGACTTGGTCACTCACTGTTCTAATGTCAAGTTTTACAGTGTTAGTCAACCTTTCTCAAATTATATGTAGGTTACTATAATTAATACATTACTAGTCTTATTTATTTATTTATTTGTTCGTTTAATTTAGTTTAATTTAGTCTATTTTATTATTAACAATTATTATTAACAAATGACTAGTAGAGCAGGAGGTGCATCAACAATAAATGAAAAAGATGTGAGTTGTCAAATAAAATATCTCAAAGTTTGAAGAAAGTTTGAATTTGTATTGAATAACGACTCGAACTTACTAATGAAGTTTAATGATTGACATAGCAATTCGCTACACTATCCTTCATAAATACTACAACGAGAATAAAACCATTTAGTGAAATGGGGTATGTTTGAAAGTATTACCAACTTTAAACTAGTCATAAGTGGAAAACTATGGAGAAAAGAAGAAAAAATAATCGCAATTTTTCCATCCAATTGCTTGAGCGTCTCATACACACTCACCAACCATCTACTAGCTTTCTGATAAACTATAGAAACTACAATTGTACATGTAATGTAGTAATATACAGAACGGACAATCTGAGACGCATGAACATAGGTAGATCTTATTCATGGTTAGTCATTACTTGCTAACATTGATGTTCGAGCACAGTATCTTTGAAATGCGCGACGAATAATATAACCGTTGAGCCAAAGTGTTTTATAGAAGAGAAAAAAACCTGTAAAACGGAAGGAAATTAGCCTAGAATATAAAAGTTGCCTCGGTATCTTGTTTCGTTCTAGGGTGTATATACTGTTGAAAAGTATAGTGAGCTATTTGAACCGTGTGAAGATTATAATATAGTTGCACCCAAAATAACTGCAATGTTTAATAAAAAACCGCACAAAGATACATTCCGTGAGTTCCACAATCTGAACAACTCACTTGTCACGCATCTAATAAATATGCATGATTTATTAGTACAAAGATTAGATACTGATATTCTTATTAATTTTTATTTATTATTGGAAAATCTGTATCGAAATGTATTGTTAAGACCGTATATAGCCAATTACCGTCTCATAAGTATGAATTCTGGACGTTATCACACATGTGTAGCACCAGTTTTGGAAAAATGCGAAGATATATTAACCAAGTTGGGTTTTCGACGAAATGATAAGGAACAATATTATTTGTTTGAAGGTGTTGATAAAAATGCAATAGCTGAATGTGCCATGTTTATTTTGTTTTTAATTTATATATTATGCAATTGTACCTATCAGACATCAGTACAATAGAAAGACCTTACGTTTTTATTTTTAAAAAACATTTATTGTGAATAATATAAACATATTACGTTTGTTTACTTAAATATGAAAGATGTTCTTTTATTAAAATAAGAAACAAACGAGTTTTGTAATTCTTCGATTAGTGTGTCAGAATTTGAATGAGTTTCCGAGTATACATTGGGAAATCTGTTTTATATTGTCAATAACTTTATGATTATTAACTTTTAAACTCTCTTGATAAAAATGTGTAAAGACTTTTCTATGTACTCTTGAGTCTGATAAACTATGACTGACTAATATAAATTCCGTGATGTAATGAAATTCCACATTGTATTATAATATGTGTTTGTATCAATTGAGGGTATACCTAAGAAAAGGCGAACGAGAAAATGGTAAAATTTAAATATAAGCTTAAGAAGGTTGTGTATAGATAAGCCGAAGAGGACTTTCCATGTATAAGCTTTTACTGACTGTCTAATTACTGACAAAAATCAATTTCTGTTCGACATCTAGTATATGAGTAAAAAACGATACGTACTTTGAATCTAGGTCCTTCCCGCTATCAAGTAGTAAAAAGTTTTTTTTATTCAGAACCAAAATTGCCGAAAAAAAGTTCATTTTCAAGCTAACTACTTTCCCAAGAGCGCGCAAGTCCCACAAAGGTCCAAACGAGGTGAAACTTTGCCGAAATATTTGTTTAAATGTGTTACTTTTACGGTGTTAGCGAAAAGTAGCGTTATCTTTCCTGAACCGCACAACAGATTTTCTAAAACTCCTTGATTTTCAAGTAAAATCTATTTTTAAGAGTCCAGTAGTTCTTTCAAGAAAAATAAGGTCATATCCGCAATTAGCGCGTCGAGTTGCATCGAATGATGTATACAATAAATTGTGGATCGAATAACTATTCACTGAAATTTTTTCCCACGATCAACAAGACCGATTTTTTTGGAAAAAAGTGTTTTTTCTTTAAAAGCAATCGGAGATGACTACGCACTGATAACTATTCATAAAAAAAGAGTTAACGAGCAAAAAATTCTGATATTCGCCTGCTATTAGAAAAATGCACACTATATGATCAAAGTTAAACGAAACGATTTCTTTTGATTTTGTTCTCAATTACGATAGTTAAAATTAAGTCATGCAGAAATCTGGCCAAAAATTTTTACTCTATCAGTCGCTGAGGTATTTACGAAAAATTGTATTAAGTTTATTGGATTGATCGTGATAGAAGCGGAGATCGGTGTCTTGAATGTTTATCTACTAAACTCTTGCGACTTTGTTTCAGATGATGCCAACTCATTATTTCTACATCATATCGTGATACTTTACTCATGTTTACAGAGAAAAATGATTAAAGCCATATTAGTGTTTAATAATCATGGTAAGACTTGTTTCTCCAAAGTTTTTGTCTGTAACATTGCTTTTTATTGTCTAGGAAAACCTCGTTTAATTAAATTTTTTGAATATTATACTGAAGATATTCAACAACAAATTGTACGTGAAATATACCATTTAGTATCGAAACGTGATGATAATGTATGTAATTTCTTGGAAGGTGGTGCTTTTATTGGTGGCAATGATTATAAATTAATATATCGACATTATGCTACACTTTATTTTATATTCTGTGTTGACAGTAGTGAAAGTGAATTAGGCATACTTGATTTAATTCAAGTTTTTGTCGAAACATTAGATAAATGTTTTGAGGTAATTTTTTTCTCATTTGTTTAGATTAATAAAATGATTATTTTCCGTATTGTTTCTAGAATGTTTGTGAGTTAGATTTAATATTTCATATTGATAAAGTGCATTATATTCTTCAAGAAACATGTTTAGGTGGTATGGTATTGGAAACGAATATGAATGACATTGTGTCTCGTATTGAAGAGCAAACAAAATTACAAAAACAAGAAGCGGGTATATCGGCAGCACCCGCCAGAGCCATGATGGCTGTTAAAGATATAAATTTATCACAAAGAATAAAAGATATTAAACTGCCATCAATCTCATTTTAAAACGATTATTTTCATTTTGATGTCTTTATCTATTATGAACCATTTGACCAGCAATTAATTCATTGATGGTAGATAACAAATGGTTCTAACGATTAAATAAATGAAAAATTCTTATTTTTTTGTATATATGTTTCTAGTTGTTCTTTATTTATCAAAAAACAAGTATTGATCGTTCTTTTAGCTTTAAAATAAATCATTATAAGTGCAATATATTTCAGAACAAAGTTTATGTTAGTTTAAATTCAATTCATGTTCATCAATAAAACCTTCGAACAACACAATAATTATCAATTTTATAAAATCATTGTTATCTACACAAAAAAAGTTGACTAGTTCTTGGTTCACTGAATTCAGTAGTTTCGAGTAGTATTATTTATTATTGTAATACAATCTTGTACAGTTCTAAATTCTATGTTGTAGTAAGTCTCTCAGAGATGTCTGAATCTACAACAATGATAACGTCTCTGTGACTGATCCTCTAAACTGTTTGAATTCATGACTCAGTAGAAATGAGTGTAATAACAGTTGATAACTCTGCAAACTTTTTCGTCTGTAGAGCAACTATTGCTCTCATGTTGTGTGTATTCAAATTTCATCCCGAGAATCAAAAGGTAGTCTGACAGATTTTTCTTGATTCAATCTTCTATTTTAACGTAATACTAGCCGAAAGATTGGTCCACTGAGAATGTTTTGGTCATTTACCATTTAAAATCAAAGTCTATTAACAGTACCGTAGTTTCTAATCAAAGACCAGTTGCTATATGGAAGAATTAGACATTATCAGAAGACGTTTGCTGACATTTAATGAATACGTACAAACTATTTCGACAATGTAAAGTTCTCAATGAACTCTTTCTATACCACCGAGAGATCACTGATTCGTTTGATATATTTTATTTATCATTGTTATAAAGCCTGACAAAATATATCAGGCATCGACGACATAAAGATTTTAAACTAGAAAACAACATCAGAAAAAAAAGAACACTTTCAGAGGATGATTTCACTTCTCTTCTCATAAAAAAAACACTAGTTACAGAAAGAAAAAAACAGGCGCTATGTTAAGATGAACGAACTGAACATGAACAAAAAAAACCTAGCTTACTCTTATTTACATAAACTGATCAAGATTTTTTCTTTTTCTCTTTTATACTATCTAGATATTTCCTACTTCATCATCTTCGCCTGAATCACTATCACTGATTCTTTGTTTACGTCTATCATTTCTGGCACCTTTTCCAGTGTCTTTTTTCGCGATCAAATTACGTTGATTGAGATTACCACTTTTCTGGAAAGGGAATTCATCATCATCATCTCCTTCTAAGTCTTCATCTGGTCCACTTTCTGGCTCGCCTCCACTCGATCCTTCAGCGTTATAACGTTCATCAAAGACAACTTCTTCTAAACCCTCGGCTGTAAATGTACTTGTTTCTGTTATATTGATATTATCAGGTATTGCTTTTATTCGCTTTAATTCTCTTGCTTCATCCGCTAAATATTTCATAATAACATCCGCTTTATCATCTTGATAATCTCGTAGACCAACTAATATAATATCACCTTGATTTATCCATACTTTCTTCCTTAATTTACCACGTATATGGCATAAACGTTTTTTACCACCTGTATTCATGTCGAAACAAAACGCTTCCAGATGTCCATTGCCTAGTATTCGTGTGACTTGTGCATATGATTGTCCTTCATCTTTTGTTATTAATTCACGTTTAATATCATCATTTTCATTTTTACCACGTCGACGATTTTTACCACCTTTACCTTTATTTTTAGGCATTTGATATTGGAATTTTGCTTATTATAATGAACAAATATGGAATAAGTCTACAAGAAAGCATGTGTCAATTTCGTAATAGATAAACTTAGTCCAACTGATAACACCTCGTCTAGTCGTGCCGCTAGGATGATGAATTAAAAGTCTTGCCTACATTTTTTTGATGATTTTCTCACTCTCAGCTGAAACACAAAGAAAAAGGAAAATTAACTTAAAATTCCTATTGTCTGAAAGATAAACTAATCAGCTGTGTACTTCTACGATATTCAAATAGTTGACAATACGGAATGAGATAAATTAACATCAAGTAAGCAGTTAAAGTAGAGCTTTTATTTGTCGATGAATTTAGTTCCGGCAAAAGAAACCATTAGCTAGAATGTCATTCTTACGCAATAAACTAAACCTGTTGTTCACAAAAGAAGGCGATATTGATAAGCCTGCTGCAAGAATTTCAATATATCATATTACTTTGAAAATTTCAACCCATTTCATCATGTATTATAGATAAAACACGATTCAATCCAATGCGTACACAAATGTCACAAAAATGTCATAATCATACTATATTTATCAAGGCGTACGTACGGCTAATCACATGATAGTGCATAGATACGCTAAGAAAAGACATTTTGTAGTGAAGTGGTTTAATGATGCGGTATATGTAGGCCTTTGATCGAAAACTCAGAATACCGAAAGAGGAAACGCAGAATGCATACGATTCAAAAGAAGAATCTCGAAAACCTGTAATGTAGAAAACAAAAATGTCGAACGGTTAAAACAACGGAAATGTGAGTTTTGCAACTGGACTCGTATCGCTAAAATGCTTCTTGCTCATAGTCCTGTCGGAAGATCTGCATATCTTTTGTGCACATTGTCATTTTGTTTAAATGGCGTGTTGTAAAATTCACAAATGATCATCAGCATTTGCCAAATCCAGAGGTTCGACAGTTGAAACCAAAAAGTGAAAACATGAACGATCAACGAATTCATTGAAAGATTTTTGCTATTCGGTTCTCCAACAACAAGCAGCTGCCGAAACCCGATCGAAAACGAAAAAAAACTGATCGAAGGCAACAGGGTATCGACACACTAATTGATCGATATGAAAATACTGAAATTGATTTACCAGAACTGTTACACGGACTGTTGTTTGTAGTTGCAAAAGATAACAAAAAAAGAAAAAAAACAACTAGTGCAGTTGCGCTACAAAAAAAATTCCAGTGCGGCACTGTCAGTGTGCACCGATCACTGCCTGATCGACCGGTGCATACCAGAAAGTACCGATATTTATGCTAAAAAAGTCTCTGCATGAAACTTATTTTGTCAGTTCTTTATTACAGTTGCATTTTCTTAATTTTGCATTAATTAAAGTACAGCACTGATATGTACCAATACTACACTGGCATGTCGCAGCTATGTGGCACTGTGTCAGCACTTCTTTTATGAGAGGGAAGAAAATGAAGTCAAAATGGTATTCGAAACATTACAAGTATACTGTAGTGTTTATATAGACGGACGTCGACAAAACAAAACGGTGATTGGAAAAAGATTTGGCATTGTTGCGCAAGGGTGCCGATAAATTAAGAAAATTTCTTATGATATATCGACACTTTTTCGGCACCTCTGCCAATGGAATAGTATCAATCCTCATGGGTACGCACCAGCCCGAAAAACTTTCTGACACTGGTGCACACCGGTGTCGAATAAGTGCCGGTAAACACTTTGTTTGCAGGGTGGTGATCAGTATTTCATAAAACTACTAGCGTCTTGTCGTTCATTTCTGTTTTCTACCTCTTGTTCAAGAAAATTACTTCGAGGGCTCTTTATATACAAAGAACCAAAATGATAATGTGCACAAAAGATATGCAGATCTTCCGACAGAACTATGAGCAAGAAGCATTTTGGCGATACGAGTCCAGTTGCAAAACTCACGTATCCGTTGTTTTAACCGTTCGACATTTTTGTTTTCTACATTTCAGGTTTTCAAGATTCTTCTTTTGGATCTTATGCATTCTGCGTTTCCTCTTTCAGTGTTTTGAGTTTTCGAGATTCGGTCATACATTCAATGATGTTAGCTATGATACAGAAGTAAATTAAATTAAAGGCATCTTATATCACTCTTTATCATGTAGTAATGCTGATCGACAAAATATTAGCTGATCTGTCCAGTTTGCTGTCATTAATCAGTTCTCCCAAACATTTTCAGAATTTCTTCTCTATCTCTCTCGATCAGATCTGAATGCTTTTTAGATAAATGAGTGTTGCTTTGAGAATTTGAAACAAACAATCTTCTTATTGACAGAAACTTTTACTAATTTAGATCCCCTAGCGAAAAGGGAAGAAAAAATACCCATTATCACCCTGTGGTTTACGGTGAACAAAAAAAACGAATATATATATATAACGCACAAGTCCCTTCTCGAAAACCATGGTACAACATTCTATACCAGTATATCCAAATGCTTTTATTAATACAACAAATGATGCAAAGACAGGCTTAACAATGAAAGATGCAGCTGATGTCAGGTATGATTTTCGAATGTGTTCAAAAGACTTTTCACGAGTTATTTAGTTGTATTTTTAAAGGAATAGGCAAAAATTTCATTGTCAACATTTTTTTTTGTTCTTAAATTACCCTTTGTGATATTTGTAAGTGGATGGGGTCACTAACACGAGAACGCATGTATAAGTAGGAAATCTATAATAAATCAACTCACTTATCACACGCATCATCCTGTTTCTCAGATCTTTTGCTGTTTTCATAACATAAGATGTGGATTACACTAATGTTGTACGTGCAGAACAGATAAGAAACAACGAGTTTATTAGATTCGTTAGGCATCTTCATTCATTTGATAAACTGTGTCAAAGGTACTCACAGCTCAAATACGACTAGTCAGATCCGATAGGAATCAGTCGGATCCGTTTTTATCGGACCGTCGAAAGCTCTGACCTGAGTGAAAGAAGATCATATATCATACTTAGAATTATAATTTAATGGTTTAGGGAACAGCTTCGATGCATCATTTCTATTCAGTCGCACTAACTGTTGTACGTTTGATGATAATTGCAATCTTTTTTCTTATGTTAGTAAATCATCCATAAATCAATCGTTTCAACATATTCAAAATATCAGTTGTAATTCGATGAATTCTGGTTCGATTGAATTTGTTGCTCATCAGTTAAATTTACATCCGACATCAGCATACAACTCACCACCACTTACATCTAATAAGACAAACACCAACGTCTCATCATATTCCACATCATCAAGCGGGTATTCTTCGTCCTATTCATATCATTCCAATCGTTCAAGTAAACAACATCGGTCTCTCTTATATCGATTAAAACGTCTCATTAGTTTCTCATCAAAAAAAGAGTATCAGTCTAATTCAACAGCCATAAATAATTCAACGTCTCCAGTTTTAAGTGTAAAAAATCGAAATCATATACAACAAACTCAAAATATCAGTACCAATAACTGTAATATTGTTTATGATTCTAATACGATACCTCGTCAAACCTCTTTATCTCGACTTGATATTCGGCGAAAATCACGACGATTTTTGCAGACACCACCATTTATGTACGGTCTAAAAAATTGTGGTAATAGTTGTTATGTAAATGCTATTGTCCATTGTTTATGTCATACAGAACAAATTAGTGGCTATATATTGAGAAAAACATATGAAGTTGATATGAAAAATATTAAGAATATATTGGACACTAATTATTTATCTTCTTTATCAGTTAATCAATATACAAACAACTATAATATCAAATCACAACAACAATTTAAAATAACAAAAGCATTTGTACATATTTTTCAAGCTTTATGGAATAATAACAATAATTGCACGTCGAAATTATCATATGAATTTAAAACTCTGATAGGAAATTTAAATAAACAATATTTGGATAATGAACAAAATGATGCGCAAGAATTTTTATTATGGTTTATCAATACAATTCACGATGAACTTAATTTGGCCAAAGTACAAAATAAAAATAAGCAAACAAAAGTAAGTATTAAACAAGTTTAACATTTTCATATCCAGTTATTTGCGATACAGATATGCTTGTTAGAAGCTGAATCAATTCAACACGTGTGTTATATCATTCAATAACGTTTCTTCTAGAATTCATCTTCTGCAGCCATATCATCGTTTAACGATGATTTAGCTAAAAAATCTTGGAATGATTATATTGATTTAAATCAAAGTGTTATTACCTCCACATTCTGTGCTCAACTACATTCGACATTACGATGCAATCAGTGTAAAGAAGAAAGTAAAACATTTGAACCGTATCTATGTGTCTCATTACCAATACCCCAAAAAATTGTTAAAGCCGTCTTTGTTACCGTTGTATTTCTAAATCAATCGCCGAAACAGTTACAAATTGGTCTATGTTTACCAATTACTAACACTGTGAAAGATGTTCGACAAGCTATTGCTCAACATTCCAATTTAGAACCAAATGATGTAAGATCTTTTTTTCAACAAACAACGCTCTACTGACTCTAAAAAGGCTTTTATTCATTTAGCTTGCTCTTGCTGAAATAAAACCAAATGGGTTTTCCCAATTATTCTTTGATCCTGAACCAATGTCTCGTTTAAATCAAGATGTTTATGCTATTCAATTTCAATCACAAACAATACAACAATTATCAAAGATCGATAACAGTATACCATCACCATCTCCTGTTCCCGTGATACAACCTAGTCCATCACCAATAAATACTTCTTATGTCAATTTACTTGTGTTAAATAGAATACGTTATAAAAGTGGCCGAGTCATTCCCTTTGGAGCACCTATTTGTACGTAGATTGTATCTCATCAAAGAAAAAATAGTTTTAAATATTATGTTACTACGTTATTATCTAGTTTTCTCTGTTGTCTCTAATCCTCATAATACATTCTTCAATTAGTAGACTGCCTAATATCTACATATCACTAGAATGAGTGGGTGTTCACTGGTGTACTAAGTAATCATGTCTTCTTTTAGCTGTCCATGTACCTAGAGAATCAAATTATCGCACTTTACAATTATCAATAATTAAAGCGCAACGTTCAAATATTAAAGATGAAGCAATGGAATATGCACAAAACTTTGTACTGTTTGAACTCTACCTAATTGATCAATATCAACAAACTCGAGGCAATGTTATCACTGAATATCCTATTAGCCATGGTGTTGAATGGCCTTTGTATTTGGAAAAAATTGTTGAAATTCTTGATGCATCCTCAATTTCGTTTGCCGGTCCAAGGTAAATAGTGGAAATAATATCTAGTCAAGTATTTTTTTGTTTTTTATTGTCCAAATACATACTACAACGGTTATGATTATATTCGATTTTCTTTCGTTTAGTCATCTGCAAATCTACGCCAACTGGGATGAAAAACACATTAATCAATTTGTAGTAAAATTTGATGATAAACCCGATATTCATAATTCCGTTCAACAAGCCAAATTATTGTTAACACCGTCACCATCTGCCTCTATTACATTAGCGGATTGTTTTTCTCTGTTTACACAAGAAGAAATATTAAACTATGATAATGCATGGTATTGTACAAATTGTAGACGAAAAGAAAATGGTACAATAAAACATCTTAGTATATGGACAACACCACCCATTCTAATTATCCATTTAAAACGTTTTTGTCAAACAAAATTATCAAGTTCAAAAATTACTTATCCTATTCATTTTCCATTAATTAATTTGGATGTAGGAAAATTTTTGTCAAAAAAACGTAAACAACCATTGATGAACAATGAAAATGATAGTGGTGGCGAAGAAAACGAGGATCGTATTAATGATGATGATGAAACAGATGAAACAGATTTGTCTGTATACGATTTATTTGCTGTTTGCAATCATCGCGGACATATGTCTGGTGGACACTATACAGGTATATCATTTTTTCAAAAGAAATTTGAATTATTTTGCTCTTTCTGAAAATTTATTTATGATTCGTTTCCGTTTTGTCTTCACCGTGCTTCATTAGCATTGTCATTATCTATATTTATGCTAAACAATGATTGTCCTTTTAGCTTATTGTAAAAATCCATGTACAGATAAATGGTACTGTTACGATGATCATTTGTGTTATGAAATAAGCGAAGATAAAGTTTGTACACCAGATGCTTATATTTTGTTTTATCGCCGGCGTAATGCCGATTTTCAGCAAACAGATGATTATGAACGTACGGACGAACAAAATCTGATATCACTTTCAACTGATAATACAAAATTGCCCACCGATGTTGCTGAAGTTCTGCCATTACAACAATTAAAGATTAATCAGGATGATTGTGATGCAGAAGGAGTAAAACATCAACAACCAAAAAACTCTTATCGTCAAATTGTTTTGGCTGTACCATCATCATCTCTATCTGAAAGTAGTTATTTGCTAAAATCACCATCTTCATGTCCGCAAAAGTTTGTCTCATCCTATACTGATCAACAACAACAAATACATTCAAATCATAACTATTTATCATTGTCAGACACGGAAAAATCAGAAACTAGAAAATCATGTCCATTGCCACGATCGTGCATTTCATCTCCTACAAACAATGTACTTTATCCATCAAATAGAAAAATTGATACAACAGTTATCGAATATGTTTATCCTCAATCATCGTCTGCTTCTTCAACAGGAGAATATTGTCAACGTGAACTCGATGAATATTCACAGCAACAAAATCAAAAACATGAACAAATTGATCAAAATACAAATCCTTGGAGTCGTTATAATAGTAGACGATATAGCAATGAAGATCGTGAATGCAATGTTATTTATCCAAAACTACATCATCCGATACCAACAATGCGCACATTACATTGAAACCGTAAGCATGAAGATTACAAATTATTCTAGACTATTAAAATTAGTTTTTGGCTCGAAAAAATGATGTTCCACTAATCCTTTGCTCATTTTAAATTCCGTTATTTCTTTCTGTACACTTATTTATGTTTTCATTTGTTTCTTTTCTGTTTTGATGTATTTCATATATAGTGTTATTTTCGAAATAGCTCAAATAAATAGTATATTTAATGATATGTTGATATGCGCTATTTTTTTTTGTGTCTTCCTCCCCTATTGTAGAACAGTACATGTAAAAGTATCGTCACACAAACATTTATACTTTAGCTATTATTTTAGTTAGAACCTTCGCAAACTTCTCTAGTTTCTATTCCATCCTCATTCATTTGGTCTGGTGTAAATAAGAAAGATTTTGATTATCATTCGAATGTACAGTACAAAACTTTACCAGATCAGTTTTATGGTTGTTATTTTTTTTTTTTTGTTTGCTCTCATATTATTCAAATATATATTTCGTAGTAACCTAAGAGGATCATTATTTTTATTTTTTTGCTCTTATTTTCAATTAGTTCAATGGTATTGAATGCGTTTTATTTTGAGGAAGTGAGACCTATTTGTTTTACTGGTTCTATTATTTTAGTTCGTCATATATTTTTCTTATCACTTTTGTTTCGTTAACGTTGAGAAAACAGTCTGTTTTTACATCTCTTTTTCTCTCATAGCCAAAAGGTTCTTTAAAAATTATATTTGTTGATCTTTTACATAGTTTTCTTCATGATTTGTTTGGATTTAATTAGTTGTTTTTTGTTTCAAAGAGCGCACATATTACATATACTTAGACGGAAGAATGAATTTAGTATCTTCGAAATTATACTATGTGTAAATTTGTTTTTTACGTCACATCTTCGTTTAATTCTCAAAAATTTTATCTTGTCATATGTTTTGTTTTTTCTATTTTTGAATTGTTATTGAACCATTGTATTCTTCGTGTTTTTTTTATTATAGATTTTTCTATTTGATAAGAAAAAGATATCATTATCGAACTGCCACATGTCTTTTCTATTCAAAAATCAGTTGCTATTTTGAATCCTCTTGAGAGAATGGTTTTGAGAAATGGATGGATGACAAGTGATGCAAAATAATTTTATCGAACAACCATGAGTGATGTCTACCTGCCACAAAAGAATAGTTCTTATATATAGCCATGAGGACAGGGCAACATAGAAACATAGAAAAATGTATTTTTACGAGAAATTAAAATGACAAATGATTATATGAGGAATAAAAACTTCGATTATTTTTAACATCAAGAGAAACTGCATTGTTTCAATATGAACGTATCGGTAAAATGATAACTATTTTGTTCGTTTCCATCTGAAGCAATTATATGTAAACGATCAACATCAAAATCGGTTATTGTCCAATTTTGTTTAAAATGTTCTGCTAAAACAGTTAAATCCAATTTATTGATTTCTCCTAATAACATGCCGATTGTTTCACCTTGATTATCATAGTCTACTAATTTTTGTAATGAAACAATATTATCATTTAATTTTGGACGTAAAAACAGTTTACCAGTATTATAATTATAACACATTGAGTTTTTATCAAATTCGATATTGAATTTTGGAAACGATTGTAATTTAGATTGTACTTCATTCATATCATTGTTTGACAACTTTTTGATTATCAGATGAAACGGTTTTAACGGTTTAAATGAAGTATTTTCGAATAGAAGATGAATTTTTGTAGAAAATTCACTCGGTGGTATAACTGTTAGCAAAAATTGATTAGTCAAAATATTTTTGACAGGCTCATTTATCACTTCAACAACTGGAATTTCAATCTGAGTCTCTTGATCGCTATGTAATAGTAAAACTTCTTTAATTATAAATGGATCATCATCATTTTCTCGACTTATAAAATACACTTCATCCAAATCGAATTCAATTGTTTTCCAATCTGATTTTAAATCGGATAATATTTTATTTATTTGGTGAGAAGATACTTGTCCAAGTGTTAGATGTGGTTTGAAACCATCATTTGATTTTTTGGATAATTCATTGTATGTTGGTATAATATTTTCAATACACTGTTGTAATTCTAAAATTTTCTCAGGGAAATTCGGAGATAAATGAAATGTACAGGTGTTCTTTTGATTAAAATAATGAAAGGAATTTTCGTCAAATTTAATATGTATTCGTGGTTGTTTTGAAAATTTTTTTAAAAGAATAGGTTCAATTGTTTCTTTCATTTGTTTAAAATTTTCTTTTTCATTTGTCACAAATGGATAAATCAAATTGATATGGGGCATCCATCTTTTGTATGCTTTGTCATGTATACTACGAATATTCTGAATTTTTTCCCAAAACTTTTCCGGGGGGATTATACAAATAGCAGTTTTATACGTTTTTGACATGTTTCAAACAATCTAAAATTATATCAGATAAGTAAGAAATAAGTGATCATTTTTTTGGAAGGTAAATAACTCTAACTAAAGCAGTGTTTTAAACTTTTATTTTAAATAAAACGAAGCAGAACTTAATGCTCTACAAAACTGCATAACTGATTTCGACATCAGTTGAATTTCTTCGACATAAGATTTAAAATGTTTTCAAAACTTCTCCGTTCACTCCTTAGTTGTCATCAAAAGTTAAAAGACATCGTTTTATTTTCTGTATTATTTTTATCTTCTCTCATTCCTTTTTATCCACTTCATCGTAGTCACTATTCAATAAATCAACCGTAATTTTTTGAATACTTTTAAACAGACTGCGGAGGTACGTGACAGTTTCAAAGTCGGCACCCTCGATATCATTGCTGAATCATCTTTTGAGGTGTCTTCTTGTACTATTGATTTATATAGTTTTTATAGTCTATGCAAAATCAACTCTAAAAAAGTGGATATTTGGAGATCCTCTCTGACGCTTCCTAAGCCGTACGTAGATCCTCTAAAAATCGGCTTTCAGGCATCGATAGTATTAGTTCGATCATTGTTTTAGACTGTTTTTAACGCTTTCACGAAAAAGTTCCATACCGATCAAAGAAGTTTTGGAATCCTCCTAAATATGTTACCGTTCCTATTGTGAACTTTTGAACTTAACTCGGACATCGAGTAAATAACTTATGTTACCTCTACCGTGCAGTGGCTCTTAAATTTTTCAGAAGATTCTACATCTTTTCAATCTGAAAACAAAATTAGAACTCAATAAAGCGCAATTAAAGGTTCATCATTAGAGGTTACCTATTCGTGAACTACATGGTTCTTCGGTCTATCTGTTGGTCTTCGTATGTTCTCCATTGTGTTATCCTATAAAACTATTGTGTAATATGAAAAGTAATCTAGTCCGACAGAGCAGGAAATTCTGCATTTTTCGTGGCAGTTTCGGAAATTCGAAAGAAAAATACGGATGATACTATAATTTTTAGTTGATTATTCCATATCCAATTTTTCACTCTTGTTTCTGGCAAACAAAAATGATACATCTTGTAGAGCTTGATAATGTGTACCTTTTGATGAGAGAACAATCATAAAAAAGTTAAACTGAACAGAAACGCTTTGCAAAAAATTAAAGTCTTGTCTGTTAATTAATGTCTCAGTTTTGAAAACTGAGGTACTCTAATATTTTAAATGTTATGTCGAAGAAATTCAACGGCTGTCGAAATCAGTTATGCAGTTTTGCAGAGCATAAAATTCTGCATCGTTTGATTCTAAAATAAGTTTAAATACACTGCTTTAATTAGAGTTATTTACCTACCAAAAATGAACATTTATTACACTTTTTATATGAATTACAGAACAAAAGATGATGAAAAAAAGAAGAATATTTCAGCTTTAATATGCAGCATGTATACATCAGCAAGAAAAGAAAAAGTTGCATCATTATTTTGACACATTGCCTTATCGAAAAAAGAAGCAGCCATTTCCTACTATGACAACTATCGAAAATGCATTTGGTCTCTTTAAACTTAAAACTTAGTTTTTCCTTCTGATGTTTTTCTTTCTGAAAGTCCGTCGGCACTCTCAAAATAAGGAAACGTACCGCTATTCTCTGTAGAGAGTTATCCATGACAACGAACAAAGTAATGACATTTCAAATGGAAAGAAACTTAATAAGTCGCATTCTAGGAGTAAATTAAAAGTAATGAACAGGACAAGCTTGTTTTCTTGTATTTTCTTCCGTGTTGATCTTGATATTGAATAAAAGGACTTTGTAGAATACGTTGAAGAGACTGCCTTTTTTAATAATGTTATTCATTGTTTAGAACGATAAATCATCACAAAAATAATTACAATGAATATACGATCACCTGTTTATACAAAAAAAACTCAAATCAAGTTACAAGAGTAAAGGTGTAAGAGAGGTGAAAAAGGTCAAGTAGGAAACAACAGGATAGAAAATATTGCGCATAGATCGTCTGTTCGGAATCACTACTGCTTTTTGCTCTCACGAGGGAACCTCACCAACTGATACCCTCTGTTTGAGCTCATACTCTGCTCATAGGTAGGACTCATAGTGTAGATAAAAACTCTAAAAGGATTCATCCCCTTGACTCTTGAAGACCTGGT